TTTTTATGTAAAACACCTCGTCTGGCTAGGCAGGTTGAATGAAATCAATTTTGCTTGCATGCACACACACACACACACATCCGTCCACCTCACGTACATACTCAATATACGCATAACACCATGCTTTTGACCTTGTCTTTCATTTTTTTCTTGACTATCCACCATCGTCCAATCCAGAACGCCCATCTTTTGCCAGATGGAACGCGAAAAGAAGTACACTCATTTTGGACTAGTCTATGCGTGAGAGTAATGCCTGAACATGACGGCTCATCGTCTATGATTTATCCGCGATACAACAATCGTAAACGGGACAGGTCCTTTCAACGATTTCGAACTACTGTTCACACCTTAGTAACATTGTAAAATCAGACTCTAAACTCACTTAAGAATGAGTTGAACGGAGCAACTAACTTAAAATCTATAGCCCTCCTGATTGCAATTAACATACTCATTAGATGGACTCCGTTCGAGTGAGTAAAGTTAAAAAAGGCATTCATTTATTGCTTTACTGTAGAAGAGAGTGGATGGAAGTAAATCGATCAGTGCAAGAATTTTCATCGTTCTAGCGAACACGTTGTAACCTGTGAGCTCCCCCCTACCCTCGAGAAACAGTATTCACTCAAGTTCGAACTATTTTCTGTCTACGTACTTCTGTCATATTGATCAGCTTAGGCCACCCAAGCGTTTGATAGATGCCCGTATCTAGGTGATTAGCATAAGTAAATTACTTGGCTAAATAGGCAGTGTGTTCACGTAGAGGGGAAAGGAAATGATATTATCGCTGAATGTGCCCTAATGAGATGCCAAAATTGAGCTCCCAAGGAAGACAAGAGTGGGAAAATATGTATGAATGTATTCAACGTGAATATGATTATGCTATTATGTGGCTCAAATTCACCATCTTTATTGCAACCTTCTTCCTCTCGTTCAGGGATAGGTCACGATTATCTTGACTCCAAATCGGAATTAAATACACTTCGCACCGGACAACATGTTTTCGCACTCCGAGCACTTTGCCGACCCCGCGTTTCTGACCAATGCGCCAAAGATTCTGGCCCACCAGCTTTCATGTTTACCTCCCACATAAATGGGGACGGGCAGGCACTCGTCGCTCGTTAACGGAGCAGGCTCGACGATCAAAGCACATTTGTTTTTGTGGCACAGATTGTGCCCTCCATTTTTTTCTATTCGACAGGTCAGAGTTGCAGGAACGATCCCGAGGCGTGAAGCGTACTGCACACAGTTGTTGTTGTTGTTTTCCTCCGACGCGCCACGCGCACGCACACACACAGGACGTCACCTCTAAATGATGTGCTACGAAACATTAATTTTGGTTTTCTGTATGCGCATGCGTGTATATATGTGCGCTGTTTACAGTCTACTGCACACCCTCTCCCTCCCTACCTCTCTTGTCCGGAGCCCACACACCGATCGAAAAACAAACCAGTTGTAGAGCGAACTAAATGAAGAGACGGCGTTTGTGTGGAAGAGTAATTTACCCCCATGCATTACAAAAGTGCAAATACCGACGCGAATCAAGTGAGGTCGGCTAAATGATGATAATGAGTATTGCTTCTTTTCGTGACTGTCAAGTCCCGATCACTATTCATCTTTGTCACTCGACTTCTAGTCGAACCAGAGTTTTTAACTGGCTTCCAACCTACGCACGCGTATTTGTCAAACACTTTGAATTTCGTCAGAAGACCCTGGAAGAAAGTGCAATGTTTTACTCCCCCCCCCCCCCAAATAAAAA